ACAAAGAGAGTGAAAGAGAGAGAGAGGGAGGAAATTTAAAGAAATATATAATTAAAATTTAATGCAGCTATTTGAATTCGAGCCAAGGCAACGCGAGGCGATCAATAAGTAACTAGATGGGGACACAAGGCGTACTCAAGTAAACTATTTAAACATTTGCCTTCTGCGTTTTTCCAACGAAAATTGTCTCCACGCATGCAATGCGCTCTGCAGCTCTGCTCGCCTGCTGCTTCTTCTTCATCTTCTATGCGTGTTTACAGTCGAGCACAATTAAACGACATTTGCCAAGGAGAGCCAAGCAGCAGCAGCAGCAGCAGCAGCAGCAGCGACTGTAAGAAGGAAAACATTTAGTCAAAGAATCGTGTTTGATTTCCCCGAAGGGAATAACCACATAGCAACGACAACAATGATGCATGACGACCTAATGGACCAGCTGTGTACTAAAAAGAATCTGAGCAGCACATGCGAACAGGGAAATTTCTCAATTTCTAAACGATATATTTTGACTTGAAGTCAATCAAAGCTAGAAATTCCTTGTAAGACATCTGAGGTGCATGGCAAGATGACAAACAACATATAGGAACTAAAAATACACACTGAGAAATGTCAATAATAAAATAAGTAACATAGACTAAATACGACCTTCAAAATTTGAGTATGAAAACTCAATGAGTGAAGAAACTATTTTGGGCACACAGCTATAACTATTGCTATTGTCAACAATAGTGAGTCAGAAGATGTTTTAATTATTGTTAATATTCAGCTGTTTAAATATTTAACAAGCTCCGCTACTCTATCGTGAATCGACGCATAAATTTATCCGAATTCATAGCGATAGAAACTATGCTTCACTAGAGAGCGTGAAAGAGAACCTGGTCATCTCTGTCTTCTCAGGATCATAAGCAATATTTGTTTTAACACTTAGTCGTGAGCTACATATATTTAAAAACAATTTTGCTCTATGCATATTTATATATAATTATTTTATTCTGGTTAAGGCAAGTGAAGTCTTCAATCAGATAGTCCCTCTGAGCGTATTGAGCTGAATTTGCTGCCGACTAAAGAGCTTCCTCTCTCTTGGTGCCACTGTTCGGTATTCCCTCATTAAACTGGAACCTCTTTAGGGCTCTTGCAGAGGCTTATCGTTCGCGTTCCTCTCTTAAAGTTTCTACTTTCACGAGAGCTTCTGCCTTCTTATCTTGATTAGAGAACACTTGTGGCACATAAAGTCGGTTTAAATTCATATACATATATTATACTTTATATAATTATTACAAAAATATAATTTATAAATTTATTTATTTATTAGAAACAAGAATTAATATCAAATTACTATTAACTTCAAATTATGCACTGTCAACTGGGGCTTTCGACTTTTTAAATTAAATCATTAAAATTATTAAAATTATGTATTATCTGGCGTTTCTATCGATTAAGTGTTAAGAATTGTTTATCAATTGTGCTTGTTTGGATTTTATTTAAATTTGAATTTAATTGTGATTTAATTTTTCCTTTTTATCATTTTTTGTTTTTATTATAATAAAAAATATATAGTAATAATTATAATAAACTATGTATTCAGCATGACAAATGGCACGTGAACAGAGAATAAATTAAGAATAAATTATGCTTTATATAACTAGTATTACAGGCACTATAGCACTACATATCCAGTAAAAATGGTATACATTAAGGAACCTTCAAGATAAATCATAAATTATGATTTAGATAGCTTGTGTTCGGTACACTCCAAAAAACTATATACCCATTTAAAGAACCTACCTAAAGAACCTTCAAGATTTGAAATGCCTCTTTTATGGCCTGTAACAATTTTATGTTTATTACTGACAGCTGATCTAAATAGTTATCTAATCAAAATTAATAGCTTTACTCAAATTAAATATAAACTTAAAAAAAAAGTAAGAAACTCTAGAGCTTAGTGTCGATAATCTTGTCTGCTTAGACGGTCGCCCATTTCCGTTCAGTATTGGAATTATTTTAGCTTGCACCGAGCTGTCAATCATGCTGGCAGGCAGCACTCACAGAGACATTCAATACATGCATGACACTTATCCCTCCCCCTTCCCTGCTGGCAGTAAAAGTCAAGAAAATTAAAAGTGCATGGCAATACAAGATGCTCGCACTTCACTCACTCAGTCACAAGGAAATGGCAGAGCCAGAGCCAAAGCTAGAGCAAGACTAGAATGCTTGTCAGCTTGGGGCCAAACACCTGCCTAATGTCAGCTGCTGCTGCTGCTGCTGCTGTTGCTGCTGTTGAGGTGAGCGACTGCTTAAATGGACTGACATCAAAAATTCAAATTGAAAATCGAAAATCGAAGCTACACTAAAAAGATACTTGGCACTGGCTGCCTGCCTGACACATAAGTATTTCCGGCTTGAATAGTCCCATAGAGCGCAGATAAGGCATGTCCCAAACGACAAAAAAAAAAAAAAAAAAAAACCTGCCATACACAGCCCATAGCCCAAAGCTCAAAGGCAAACAAATTGCCGAGTGTGATAAAAAATAATGCGAAATCCGTAGACCATAAAGCGTTAACCGTAAACACAATGCCGTATAATAAGTGTGGCTACATTTTCCACTTAATTTATGGCAAATATATGTGGGGGCCATCGATAGAGCTAAATGTGAGTGAAGTGAGGGACGGCAAGGCATTGAACGTGAATTTTTAATAGACTTTTAATAACCGACACAGCGGATTGTTTGGGGCTGATGGCTAAACAGAAAGTGTAATGAACCGCAGCCGCGCATCGTGCAGACATTTTCCAACTGAAAAGCCATTGAAAGGCGTTGCCACTGGGCAAACAATAGCGGCCAGCAACAACAGTAAAAAAAAAAAAAAAAATGGAATTAAAAAAAAAAAGAAAAATGAAATGAAGCGAACGACAAGGCTAAAGCCGTAGCCAGGACGAAGCGATGGCAGACAAACAACAATAAAGATAGAAATCAACGCAGACGTGTGCATAAAATATTAATTATCAGCAGTTTACCAGCAGCAGTAGAAGCAGGAGCAGCAGCAGCAGGAGTCGCGGCAGTAGCTCGACATATTGGCAATGACTCTGAAAAGTCAGGCCACAATGCCAGCAGCAAGTAAAAGTGCTGAAGTGTTGGAAGGGACCGACTAGTAGTTACTCTAACCTCTTCAGATTCCTTCGATGAATGCAATCAATGCTGATTGTAGATCAAATCCATAGAAACAAAAGTAAATATTAATAAAAATAAATATTAATACAAAATATAGATAATGAATATACCTAATCAGCCAATATTGTGGGGAATTATATCAAGGAGATGTATTATTAAGCTAACAATTTAACAATCAATATCTTATTAGTTAAGAAAGTTTATTTCACCAATCAACATAGCAAACTTGATGTTTCCTATTCCTTATGCTAATACTATACAAAATCTAATCATATGTTCACTATATTTAATCCAGCTAAATATTAAATAAAGAAAATACTAAAAAGGTATTTTAAAAAAGAAATTACAAAAAAAAAAAAAAATACTGACGAACATAACAAATCGACCTAATACAATACAATTTAGCTAATTCAGATAAAATTTATACCATAATAATTCTCACAAAATTCTTATTATTTTATTTACTTATTATATTTATATTATTTACTTTAAAATTTTTTTAAATTTATTGATTTAATTTAATCTTTTTTTAAAATTATTTTATTTATTTTTTATATGTGTGTTTTTTTTCAAATTTATTAATTGTATTTATCTTATTTATTTTTTTAATTTATTAACTTATTATTTCTTTTATTTTATTTTTATTAATCTTTTTTTTTTAAATTATTTATTTACGTATATACCGGCAAACCAATCTACCCTGCTTAACGCTTTAAAATGGGTATAACAACAACAGACTTTGGCAGACGCGACACGCAATAGAAAATGGCAAAACAGTTTGGCAATGGCATTGGCATTGCTTGCTACCAGTTGAAGCTTACAGCAGTCGGTGGGGCCGGAGCAGGGAGGGGGAATCCTTAAAATTAGTAAGCTTGGCAGTTAGCTTCAGTCCGGGCCTGGCAACAGTTGGCGCCATTGATAACTGACTCCCTCTAACGTGCCAGCTACGTACTTACGTACACACATACATACATATGTATATATTACATATATATGATCCATGCAGCTCTGTGGCTTTACTGGGATTTTCTGGCTAGAAAACGGCTAGACAAAAGTGCATTAAACGCAGATGTCTGCATGAAGCGCAGAGCAATAGAAGCCTTCTAAAAGGGTTGCCAGCTGAGGCAGCTGCATTCGAGCAGGCGTGTGGCTAATAGGATATCATTTGATATACAGGCTGCATGGCTGTGCACTCACTAATTGCACGTGATTTTGATAATCGATGCGATAGGATTGTTGAAAATTAAATGAAAATCGCTGTAAATAAGGGGCACTGTGTCTCAATATAAAATTAAACTAATTGTAGTATGGGATATAAATGAGAATATTTTAGAAACCATTATTTATCTCTAAGAATTGATCGGCATTGTTTTCTGCTCAACGGCGAACAGAAATCGATCTTCTAATAAGGACTCTTAAGGACTAGTGAGCTTCGTATTTGCTCGGCTGAGCTGTGCTCTACTTGTCTAATCAGAGTGTTGTAGGGTTACTTGTAATATTCTTCTGTGCTCTCAACTCATAACGTATATTATGGCTTCTATTATATGTCCTCTATTGGTTCCTCTCTAAAAAATATATTCATTATAATTATTATAAATTTATATGTATTTAAATATATATGTATATATAATAAATAAAAACTAATGCTAACTTTTTAATAAATAAATAAATAAACGCTATGCCTTTTGTAGCGTATCTTTGGCTCTGGATTAAGGCCTTCCATAATCAATATTCCATCTAACCCATATGTCATGAATTGCCCAAAAAATATATTATTTAATATTTTGAAATATAGAATTATTAAATTTTTTTTTTTTTTTTTTTTTGCTTTTATGTATTTTGCTGAGATTTATTCTTTAGCTTTTCCCTTATTCCTATACCGTCTTAACCCTGTTTTATTCCATTTATAATACTTAGTTTCTTTTGCAGAATGCGACCCAACAGAGTTTGCGGCTGACGATTCTGCCTGTGGCCGTGTCTGTGTCCGTGCCCTGGACCACGCCTCCTCCTGCCTGGTCGCCTACCAGGTCGGTCCCACCTGGGCGGACGACGTGTTGCCAAAGCGTCGTCGTCTTCATAGTCCTCAGCGATGCACTCGGAATTGTCAATATTAATGGGCTCGAGGCAGTCGACACAGTCTACATTATCGGGCTCCACTGTACAGGTGACCGCGTCACCCAACGGCAGGTAAGCAACGAAAATTATTGCCAAAACGGCGCAGCTAATTATTATAGAATTTGATACCATCTTAGCGAATCTCAAACTTCTCAAATAGATTGATGAATTTTAGGCATTTTGCTGAGTTTATATAGCTTAGCTTAATTGCTGAAAGATTTTGCAATGTTTAGGCAGCTGTCTTGGCATTTGATATTGCCAAATTTTAAACGCGAGCGATTAACTCAAATATATAAAAAAAAAAAAAAAAAACAAAAAATAAAATAAAAAAAACAAATTGTATTGACATTTCGCTGTTTGTTACGTTTAAATATTTTAGCAGTTGTTTTTATAATTTCTTGCTCTCTAGGAAAGAAGGGGAAGTGATGATTATTAGGGGAATGTTTTAATTTTGTTATTGAGCTGTTGTTCTCGTTAAATAAACCATTTATAGTGAGTTAAAAAATAAATAAAAAGTTATGTTGTTTTGCTGGGAATAATTTTAACAAGATTCTGGCATGAAGGAGATAGGTTTATACTACTTGCTGAATTGCTTATAATATATTTTAGTATATCGAATAATCAATTATTAAGAATATAGAATAGCTAATAATTATATTAATAATAATATTTAAAACTACGGAGCTGTTTTATATGTTCTTACTTGGTCTATCATATACTATAGCATATCATGCGTAACATCTCTACAGCAGAGGGCATTTGTTAAGTATTTGAATTTCAAAGCAACTTCATTTTAATAGAAAATAATTGTAGGACTATTGAACGCCATCAGGTGTAACTCTTACAGACAGAGCTCAAGGAAAAGTTTGCCATCTGTAAAACTATTTAAATTAAAAGTTGTAGTCAAGTGCAGAGATTATAACCCATCAAGCTTATTCAATCATAGAAATTCATCTCGCATACGCATCAAGTATTTATATAAGATTATCTCCAAAGCTTTAACAATAACTTTTCACTTTTATTCACCTTTACTCAACTCGTTTCAAACTTAAGCCAGTTACGACTTAAGCTCTCTAAAAACCAGGCAATTCATCTGTCTCTCTCTGAGCTCAAACCTGGTATTATATATAAATAAATATCTTATACATATGCATGCATATTCAACAGCCTCTTGCCATACACAAACGTCATTCGTGTTTGGCATGGTATTTTTCCATCAGTTTCATTTGTCTTTCACCTAGTTAAGCCTTGTTTTTCTCGTCTCATAACAAGATGCTTAATTAATTTTTGTGCACTGTGCTGGCGGCGTAACTAAGCCACCCACTGAAAGATCCGTCATACAGATCCAAATCATGCGTGAACATTAATTCGATTTGCGCAGATGTGTGCCAATCGACGAAACCGTCAAACTACGTGCACTACGAGCTCAGGACACGGGCGGCAGGACGCAGGACACGGGACACGGAATATGGGACAATGAGGCGGGCGTCGAGAGTCGTCGCTCGTTGGCTTTAATTTCGTCGCATACTGTTGACAACAACAGAGCAGCCAAAATGATGTGAGTGTTGGCTGAGATATTCAATGAGGGGTTTACAAATACACACACACACACACATTCAGAAGGAATGAGAGAGAGAGAGAGAGAAACATACGAAAGTAGCCCAAGGCACATACGCGTACCTGACAGTCAGCGTTGTCTGTAGTGAGTGTCCCCTGTAGCTAGGAATTGTCCACTTGGGTCTCGCTGTGTCACTAATTGTGCACAATATGAAGAGAATACCTGAGTGTGTGTGTGTGTGTATTTCTGTGTGTGTGTGTGTGTACCCCACTGTCCGTGGCCTGCTGTTGACTGGTGGTTGCTGTCGCTGTTGTCTGTTGGTCTGGCTGGTTCTGCTGGTCCTGCCGCACCCACCCGCTCTTACCTACCATTCATACCACGAACCGCTGCCTCACCATCTCTCTCTCGCCCCCCTCTCACTCACGCTGCGGCTCTGGTTGACCATTAGCTGCGGAGTTTTTTGCCTTTTGATCTACGCTTCGTTGTGTGAGTGTGTGTAATGCAATTAATGTGATTTTTGGTTGCAAATTAAACGTATTTATCAGCGTTTATCAATTAATTTTCATTTTCATTTACGGTCGACCAGTTCGCCGAGGCTTGACAAATTATCAAACAATGATTAAACATGGCACTTTTAATGCGTTCACATCGACTTTAATTAAATAGAAGTCAGTAAATATATGTGGGCATATATACATACATACATACATATGCAGTTGCTTGTAAACGGACACCATCTCCAGGTCAAACATCAATCCATCTGGCAGCTGCCAAAATATCGCTACAACTCCCCTAAATCCCCAAAGTAAACAATAAATTGTTTTACATGACACTTATGTACTCTACCTAGTTTTCCATTCAATTTCGAAGTGTTCTCTATTTGCACTACTTTGCATTTTGGGAAATTTGGTCGGTGCTTGTATTTCCTTGTTCGACTTTAAAAACCAAAACTTTGAAAAATGTTAAGATATTTTTTAAATTAAATTTATCAAAAATCATTTATAAAAATCATATAAAAAGACTGAAATCTTATTTTACAATATTTTATAAAATAAAAACATTATTATCTTTTAAATATATTCAAGCATGAAATATCCATTTTAAATTATAGAATATTTAGTACTATGTAAAATAAAAAAAAAAAAAAAAAAAAAAAAAAAAAAACCATTTATGAATATTTTTGATCAAGTTCTATTATTATAGTAAATTATTTTGGTTTTTATGCTCTGTTTATATTTTTAAGAAATCATTTAGTTTAATTTTGCATAATTTTTTTTACAGATGATTTTCAAGTATTATATAAATATTTATATATATATATATATATATATATATATTTTTTTTTTTTTTTTTTTTTTTTTTTATATATTTTAAAATTTTGTTCAATGTTTTATGTTTTATTAAAAAAAAAACATAAAATGTAAATAAACTAATACATATGAATTTATATGTATTTTTTTAAAATATATTTTGCTAAAAAAATATGCCAAAATCTTAAATAAGCGTTCAAAGTTAGAATGTTATTTTTTAATGATATAATTCATTTCCGTAAACTAATTTGAAATTCAAAATATTTACAAATATTTTTTGTTAGATATTTTATTTTTACGTCATGTCAACATTTAAAATTTTTAATAATTATTAATAATTAATATCGAATAATTTGCACAATTATATCAGTTTATTTAGAGCATCTCGCAGTCTAAGCCGAGGCATGATTTGCGAGTAGAAATTGTTTTTGGTAATTTATTTGATTTGAACATGACTGCTGGCAACCAGCCACGCCCAACGCCTGTCACCGCCCATCGATCATCCCCGTTGGCCATGCTAATAATGTTTTGTAATTTATTTTCAACATGCTGACAGTCGACGCGCATTTCGAGCCGTAAATTTGTCGAATTTGCTATTATTACTGCACGCAGTTGCTGTGCAACTGCTCTTGTTGTTGTTGTTGCCGTTACACATAATTGATTAAAGGAAATTATATAAAAGGTGCAAACTGCCGCAATTTGATGATGCATTTTGATGGCATTCAGAGGTTTTGCCGGATTTTCATATCAGCCAGACACAAGAGTGTTAGGGGGAGATATGTATATATATAAACTTATATATATATATATATATATATATATGAATATATACACGTATGTATGTAGGTGGTGTGTTGCTATATCAGTCTATCTGCTTAGTTGCATGTGCATTTCAATATAATTTTGATCAATTGCAAATGCTATGGAAATCGCATTGAATTAGTTAATCATACCAACAGTTGCAAACATTTGTGGTATTTGATGGTGAGCAGCTATGCGATGCGGAATTTGATATGTATGATAGCCGAGTAGTAATTAAATTGGGTACAGTTTTAGCTAATAGCCAGGATATGTAGAAATACTTAATTACTATAGTTAACCTAACAAACTACTAAACTCATTACATCGTCTACTCACTGTGAATCGCCAACCTGTCCTATCTATTACTTCCAATGAAATAAATCAATAAATATGAGGTTTCCCATGTCTGTTAGGTTTCATAGCGATAGATACTTGAGAATCAAAGTTTACTTAAATTTTGTATTTTTACTCCAAAGATGAAAGAGCATATCTTTTACAAACTGATACAGAAATATTTTTTCAGAAGGTTTAAACGATAACTTTTCGAGATATTACAATTTTAAGAAATATAAATCCGAATATAAAAGAAATTAAATGATACCGAACAAATATTCATGAATTGTATATACATACATAATGCTTCCACACTCACTCACACTCACACATTTAGAAGAACCCAATTAAATTTATTCTACTTTCTCATATTTCAACTGAAATCAATAAAACCAAAAACAAGAATAACAAACAGAAATACATAAAATCTACAAAATAATAAACAAGCAAACGCGAACAATATAGTATAGAATAATACTAGATCGGCAAAAAAATACCACATGTGTATGCTGATAAGAACACTTGCAAATATTCAATAAATGCAGCCACAGCAATAGCAATAGTAAATTTTAAAGTCTGATCCACACACTACCCAATGCAACCACATTGCAACCACCAACATTTGCCACGCCCACCCCCACTCTGGGCGCTGGCATGCCACACAGAAGCGACGAGGCAAACAGTAGGAGAAGGAGCAGAGAAAAAAAAAAAAAAACAAAAAAATTAAATTAAGTTTATTGACATATTGCTAATTAGACAGAACATGACAGCGTATCAAGATTTATAGCGCCCGATAAGCAACGGCAGCAGCAGTAGCAGCCCCCAAACAGTGGGACCCGCACAGTGTCCCTACCGCCACGCACCGCCCAACCTCCCAACCCTAGAGGCGGATCAATGAACGCATTCATTTTAATTGGAGACATGGAAAATATGCCAAACAAAGAACATTGGAGAAAATACATATACATATAAATACATACATAAATATATATATGCGCTGCTCTCTAGCCATCACATAGAGGAAAGACGAAGCTCTAATTAAATGCACTTGAGAATGCCACAACAACAGCAGATGCAATCGTATGTGTGTGTGTCTGTGTGTGTGTGCCATGGTTCACTGGAATTTATGTTGTGGCCCTCAACTGTCTCGTAAAT